TAAGACATCACAACCTCAACCCTGTCGATAAGACCCTAACGGAGGCACTTAAATAATTATGTAAAAAAACTAAGTTTCTTTTAATATTTTTCAAAGAAACTGTAAGGAACGCTCAAATTTGATGAATATGACATATGTTTAGTAAAAGTACAAAAATAAATATTTTCATTTTCAGGCCATTGTCGAGTCGTCTTATATTGGTGTTAACATTGACACTTTTTTTCCTCCTTGAGATGAGGGTCATTAACTCGTTCAAAAAAGTTCTTTTCTCATTTTAGTATCAGACCATATATACTAAAGATTGTCTTAATTGAAAAATACGGAAGAAAAAAACATGTACTTGTGTCTATAAGACCTCACAACCTGAACACTTTCGAGAAGACCCAAATTGAGGCACTTAAATCATTATGTGAAAAAACTAAGTTTCTTTCAATATTTTTGAACAACTCTAAGGAACACTCAAATTTGATAAATTTGAAACATATGTTTAGTTAAAATAGGAAACTTAAACACTTTCATTTTCAGGCCATTGTCGAGTTATTTTACACAAGTTACCTTTACACTTTGTTTCATCCTTGAGATAAGGGTCAATAACTTGTTCAAAAAAGTTTTTTTCTCGTTTTAGTATCATACCATATCTCATTTTGGTTTAGATTGTTGTATCCGATTAAATCTCCTTATAGATAGGAGTTAGATTTAGCTTTGATTTGATTTAATTTGATTTAGTTTTGATTTGATTTAGTTTTTGATTTGTTTACTTATTTGTTATCAGATTTTCTTTAGATCTTTAGGTAGATTTTCTAAATATTTTCTTGTATTCTCTATATATAGAACATTCTTGTTCTTCATAATATAATCTTCCCATCAACCATTCAATCACTCATTTTTTCACTAACCATTGTATGAGTGCTATCTTCTTAAGGGATCTATGAGGAGTTCAAAATGGGGAGAGAATCCAATTTTTCAGTTGTTGCACCACTAGTCTTCAATGAAGACAATTATTAAATGTGGGCAGTTCGTATGGAGACTTATCTAGAGGCTTTGGATCTTTAGGAAGAGAGGATTACGAGGTTCCTCGGCTTCCAGCAAATCCTACTGTAGCACAAATCAAAGTATAGAAGGAAAAGAAGACAAGAAACTCAAAGGCAAAAGCTTGCCTATTTGCCGCTGTATCTCAAATGATCTTCATGCGAATAATGTCCCTCAAAACAGCAAAGAAAATTTGGGATTATCTCAAGGCTGAATATGGAGAAGATGAGAGGATTTGTGGAATGAAAGTCTTGAATTTGATTAGGGATTTCGAGTTGCAGAAGATGAAGGAGTCTGAGTCGGTGAAAGAGTACTCTGACAGACTTCTCAGCATTGCCAACAAGGTGAGATTGCTTGGTTCTATGTTAAATGATTCCAAGATCATTGAAAAGCTGCTAGTCACTATTCAAGAGAAGTTTGAAGCCACCATTATTACTCTGGAGAATACCAAAGACCTGTCAAAGATTTCTCTTACAGAGCTCTTGAATGCTTTACAAGCACAAGAGCAAATGAGGTCTATGAGGCAAGAAGGGGTGATTGAAGGTGTCTTACATGTCAAGCATCAAGACAATAGCAGGTATAAAAACAAGAAAAAACTCCTTATAGCTACTGCATCTTTTCCTTTGATTTCCAAGTGTTCACCATTGCCAATCCTCACTCTCTTGACTTCAGTATCTCTTGATTCCTCAAAAAACTCCTTATCATATGTCATATGGTTTGTGCACCCACTGTCAATCAACCAGCTCTCACTTGATTCTTTGCCTGGGGTGATCACAAACAATTGATCTTCTTCTTCTTGATCAATTACCTGTGCATCTACTTCTTTCACTTGCTCTTTGGCTTTGCAGATCACAGCTTCATGTCCAAGTTGATTGCATTTGGAGCAGAACGTATTAGGTCTTCTCCAGCCCTTGTATGGTGGATGACCTTTCTTCTCACAATGGCGGCAAGGTGGATAGGATTTTTTAGAACCTCCTCCTTTTGTCTTCTGATAATTGGCAGATGAATCTCCATTCGTCGATTGGTTTTTGAAAATTTTCTTGTTTTTATACCTGCTATTGTCTTGATGCTTGACATGTAAGACACCTTCAATCACCCCTTTTTGCCTCATAGACCTCCTTTGCTCTTGTGCTTGTAAAGCGTTCAAGAGCTCTGTAAGAAAAATCTTTGACAGGTCTTTGGTGTTCTCCAGAGTAGTAATGGTGGCTTCAAACTCTTCTGGAACAGCGACTAGCAGCTTTTCAACGATCCTGGAATCATTTAACACAGAACCAAGCAATCTCACCTTGTTGGCAATGCTGAGAAGTCTGTCAGAGCACTCTTTCACCGATTTAGACTATTTCATCTTCTGCAACTCAAAATCCCTAATCAAATTCAGGACTTTCATTCCACGAATCCTCTCATCTTCTTCATATTTAGCCACGAGATAATCCCAGATTTCCTTTGTTGTTTTAAGGGACATTATTTACATGAAGATCATCTGAGATATAGCTACAAATAGGCAAACTTTTGCCTTTGATTTTCTTGTCTTCTTGTCCTTTTGTACTTTGATTTGTGCTACAGTAAGATTTGCTGGAAGTGGAGGGATCTCGTAATCCTCTTCTATTGCTTACCAAAGATACAAAGCCTCCAGATAAGTCACCATACGAACTACCCACATTTGATAATTATCTACATCGAAGACGGGTGGTGCAACAGTTGAAAAATTGGATTCTCCTCCCATTTTGATCTCACAGATCCCTTAAGAAGATAGCTCTGATACCAATTGTTAGTAAAAGGATGAGTGATTGAATGGTTGATGAGAAGATTATATTATGAAGATCAGGAATCCTCTATATATATATATATAATACAAAAATATATTTAGAAAATCTACCTACAAATCTGCAGAAAATCTGGTTACAAACCAGTAAACAAATAAAAAACTAAATCAAATCAAAATTTAACTTCTAACTAGAAGGAGATTTAATCAGATACAGCAATCTAAACAAATACGTGATCTTTAACAATATCTTATCCACTAAAGATTGTCCTAAGCATAAAATAAGGAAGAAAAAAAAAAACATTGGCTCATGTCTATAAGATCTCACAACCTCAGCTCTCTCGAGCAGACCCTAATGGAGGCACTTAAATCATTATGTGAAAAAACTAAGTTTCTTTCAATATTTTTGAACGAAACGGTAAGGAATGCTCAAGTTTGAGGAATTTGACACATATGTTTAGTTAAAACACGAAAATTAAACACTTTCCCATTCGGGCCATTTTCGAGTCATTTTCCTTAGGTGTTAACATTGTCACTTTTTTTCCAATTTGAGACAAGGGTCGTTAACTCGTTCAGAAAAGTTATTTTCTCGTTTTAGTAACGGACCATATCAACTAAAGATTGTCCTAATCGTAAAATAAGTTAGAAAAAGAACATTTACTCGTGTCTATATGACCTCACAAACTAAACACTATCGAGAAGACCCAAATGGGGGCACTTAAATCATTATGTGAAAAACTAAGTTTCTTTTAATATTTTTTAAGGAAACTGTAAGGAATGCTAAAGCTTGATGAATTTGACACATATGTTTGGTTAAAATACGAAACTTAAACACTTTCATTTTTTAGCTATTTTCGAATCATTTTCCATATGAGTTAACATTAGCACTTTTTTCCTCTTTGGGATGAGGGTCATTAATTTATTCAGAAAAGTTATTTTCTCGTTTTAGTATCATATCATATCCACTCAAGATTGTCCTAAGAAGGAAGAAGAAAAAAAACATTTACTCATGTCTATAAGACCTCACAACCTCATCCCTGTCGAGAACACCCTAGCGGAGGCACTTTAATCATTATGTGAATAAAATAAGATTCTTTCAATATTTTTCAATGAAATTGTAAGAAACGCTCAAATTTGATGAATTTGACACATGTGTTTAGTTAAAATATGAAACTTAAACACTTTCATTGTCGGGTCATTTTCGAGTCATTTTCCATACTTATTAATATTGACATTTTTTTTCCTCTTCAGGACAAGGGTCACTAACTCATTCATAAGAGTTGTTTTCTCGCTTTACTTATTAATATTGACACTTTTTTTCCTCCTTAGGACGAGGGTCACTTAATCATTTAGAAAAGTTGTTTTCTCGTTTTAGTATCATACCATATCCACTAACTATTGTCCTAAGCATAAAAAAAGTAAGAAAAAACATGTACTCATGTCTATAAGACCTCACAACTTAGTTAGGACGTTGTTGGTTTAAACTGAGGTGGTAAAACTAAAGTTCCATCAACGAAGCTCAACATATCTTAACTCTCAAAGAGAGTAAGAAGTTGTCTTTTCCAAAGAAGATAATTGGAAGAAGAAAGCTTGACGGTGACCATATGGATCAGAGTATTGAAAGGAAGAAGATGAGAAGAGAATTCAAAAGCCAGAGAGAAAAAAGAAGGAAGTTTCTAAATTAGATGAGAATTTTCCATATATAATTACTTACCGACTCAGATAAGATCAAATAGATTACAAAGAAAATGGAAAAGAGTAATAAAAGAATACAAGATATTAGCGTATAATCTGTCAAATATAATGCATATGTTAAATCGTAACCAAAGGCTAAATATCCTCAACAATACAACATATTAACCTACGATCAAGGATCAAATATGATACATATGCTAAACCATAATGGAATGCCAAATATCTTCAACACCAGTGTCTCCATGTCTATTTCTCCGTTCATCTTCTTTCTTCTTTTGTTTCATCTACATCGAATGTACGAGTTATACAATCCTAATTGTCAAAACTATATTTCAAACTCGGTACGAAAAGTTTACCCCAATTTCATGCATGTGTTCATACGTTTTTCAAATGCATCCATTGAACCTAGTGAATGCATCCATTGAACCTAGTGAGGCTAAACCTTCCATTTATTTCATTCATCCCCTGATTTAGTTACCTTATATAAGAACACCCGAACTATATAAGCCTTTTAAGAAACTCAACCATAACCATAGTCATGGCTGGAAAGTTGTGTACTGAACTCGCTTTCTTAGCTGCGATCATCTTGTTCATACCCGTGTTTAGTTCAGGTAAAAGCTCTCACCTTATAAGTAATTACAGCCAAAAATAGTTGTTTAAAGTGTTGGTTTATACTGTGCAGTGAATGGCATGCCGTTGGGCTTAAAACCAAGCTCTCTGATACACATCACATGCAGTACCCCAAGTGATTGCGGTGACCCTACGCGTTGCTATTGTGATACTCATTTGTGCTTTTGCCGATCCTTCAACAGCCCCTTCGCCTTCACCTCACCTCCAAAACTTCCCTTACAAGACAACAACAACTAATCAGGGATTTGCATGCCGGCGTTGTTAAAATAAATAAGGGTATGACACAAGTTTGAATACTACTTGTGTATACCTACTCGTAGATGTATTCGAACGAGCTTATATTGAAAATCGTGTTATAAAAATTTCGTTCGATAACTATTTTACTTTTGAAAATTAGCTTTTTGAACACTATTTTCACCTCCCAAGTATTATCAAGTGCATTTGTCGTGTTATGCACGTGTATTTCTTAATCTAAAATAAGTTAGCTTTAATGAATGGAGTAGAGTATTTGAAGTAGGAGTGTTCGTGGGTTGGGTTGGAACATATTTTAGACCCAACCCAGTTGCTCGGATCTGTAAATTTTTCAACCAACACATCTCTTATTAAGTAATGAACTCAATCCAAGCATAAATCTTTTGAGTTGGATTGTTTGAGTCATATATTCAAATTATTGTTTTAAATAAAAATAAAACGTTAGTTCATTGATCGACCGCTTTCTACGCCATATATTTAGCGTTGAGTGTTGAGGAGGTTGCTGGTTCAAAGTGAGGTGGTTCTCTTTTCGAAAGAAGATAATTTAGATGAAGCTCGTGAGGCTAAACCTTCCATTTACGATTTAGTTACCTTTTGTAGCATAGTTATGAGTGGAAAGTGTGTTTATATTACAGTGAATGGCATGCCATTGGGCTCAAAACCAAGCACTCTGGTCATGCAGTAGACAAGTGATTGCTATATAACCCTAAGGTGTGTCGTTGTGTGCTTCATTTGTGGCTTTGCACATCACTCATTCAGCTCACCTCAAACTTCCTTTACGAGACGCCAACAAATGTGGCCATCAACAACAACTAAGCAGCTTTATGAGAGATTTTGAAGTTTTGTGCATGTCACATGGGATTTGCATGCCGAGATTATGACACATTGACGATACTTAAACGTGTCGTTTCAAATCTCTTTGAGCATAAGCTCTCGTGGGTTTGTTTTTTGTTTTCTCTAAATGTCTCGTTCCAATGGAGATGATCATCCCTTTAATTAGCCGATGTGAAACTCCCCCATCAATAATTCTCGGCAATTCTCTCCTCCAACAAAGTATACCATAGAGCCTCCCCTAAGACCTATGGAACCCTCGAACAGTCTCCTCTTAATCGAGGCTCGACTCCTTTCTCCGAAGCCCTTGAACAATGTTCGACACTTAAAATCACTTTTTTATTACACTAATTTTATATTTGAAGTATATTTTTTTTCAGAGGTGTTCCGTGAATTGCATTGAGACATTTTTTAGACTCTAACTCAATTGTTCATAAATTTTTACAACCCAAACAACTCTTATTAAAAAATGAACCCAACTCAATGGAACCCAACCATAAATTTTTTAATTTAAGAGTTCGAAGTAATAAATAAATATAATTATCTATATATATATATATACATAATGGATTTTGAGAGTAGAAAAATGGAGGAATCCAATATGAGAGAGAAGAAGAAGAAAGGAAGAGAGAAGGAATAATTGGTATCGTAGCGTCCATGAAAGACATTCATTCTCATTCTCCATTGTAATTCCTTCTTTTACATGTGATTTAGCGTAATGCCTCTCCTTCTCTCTCTCGTTTATGGCTTCTCCCTGACCCCACCACTATATATATGGAGGAACCCATTTTGCTTTTTGGATCTGATCCCTACCATTTTTAGCTCTTCTTTACCACCCTCTCAATTCCCTTCCATTTTCCCCTTCTTCTTTTTCTTCTCTCCTTTTTTGCTTCTGCCTCGCTCTGTTCTTCGATTCTGCAGCTCGGATGGACAAATACGAGATCGTTAAGGATCTGGGCGCTGGCAATTTCGGCGTTGCCAGACTCCTCCGCCACAAGGAAACCAAAGAGCTTGTTGCCATGAAGTACATAGAGCGCGGTCACAAGGTTTCTTCTTCTTCTCTCCATTTTCCACTGGAAATTATATGAAAATCTTCTGTTTCGAAGAAGTTGGGGATTTTGATTTATCTCAACCTTGTTCTCTATGGCTTCTTGAATTGGGGGATTTTGATCATTTAAGACGATTTGTGGCTGTTTCTTTCTGTTTTGATTGTATTGACAGATAGATGAGAATGTGGCTAGAGAGATTATAAACCATCGATCGCTTCGGCATCCTAATATAATTCGTTTCAAGGAGGCAAGTTCTTACCCTTTTAAGATTTCTGTAATCTAATATCATGCAATTGCCAAAATTTTGATTCTATGAATTAAGAACGTGATGAAGCTGTTAAATGCATCAAGTTTTGGATTAAGAAATAGATTTGAAGTTGGTTTATGATTTGCAGGTTGTTTTGACACCAACGCATTTGGCTATAGTGATGGAATATGCTGCTGGGGGAGAGCTGTTTGAAAGAATTTGTAATGCTGGCCGTTTCAGTGAAGATGAGGTCTACCTCCTTATCCATTTTTCCTTTTTTGTTAGGAATCACGACTCTCTATAATGGTATGATATTGTCCACTTTGAGCATAAGCTCTCGTGGCTTTGCTTTGGGCTTCCCCAAAAGGCCTCATACCAATGGAGATGTATTCCTTACTTATAAATCCATATTATTCCCAACAATCCTCCCCTCGGACAAAGTACACTATAGAGCCTCCTCTGAGTCGAACAATCTCCCTTTAATTGAGGCTTGACTCCTTCTTTGGAGTCCTCGAACAAAGTACACCCTTTGCTCGACACTCGAGTCACTTTTGACTACACATTCGAGGCTTACAACTTCTTTGTTCGACATTTTGAGGATTATATTACATGGCTAATTTAAGGGCATGGCTCTGATACCATGTTAGGAATCACGATTTCTTTGTTTGACATTTTGACCCTATTTCATTTTACAGGCTAGATATTTCTTCCAGCAGCTAATTTCTGGTGTCAACTATTGCCATTCAATGGTAAAATCCAATGAAGATTGTGTAGTTTCTGGTTAAAAAATCGAGTTCGCTTTCTAATTGATTTCACTTTGCAGCAAATATGTCATAGAGATCTTAAGCTAGAAAATACACTTTTAGATGGAAGCACCGCACCTCGCTTGAAGATATGCGACTTCGGTTACTCCAAGGTTTGTGAAAATGCAAAGCTGTTTGATCCATTGGCATCATCTACCATTTCTAACCAACTTATCAATTTCTTGTTTAGTCATCCCTGCTGCACTCAAGACCAAAATCAACTGTTGGTACTCCAGCATATATAGCACCAGAAGTTCTTTCTCGAAGAGAGTATGACGGCAAGGTGCTTATGAACATCCAGTTCAGTGGGTTGATGATATCATATTGGTGAAAACTTAGCTACGTCCAACATCCATGGTTTCACGTTAGGCCTTATGCACGTTAGCAACACACATGGTTTCACGTCCATTTCGATTGAGAAATGACTCTCATAGATAATAAGTTAGTAACCATGATAGAGTTTAGTTTTTCTAATAAATGGTAAGATACTTATTGGTAGGAGAAGAATTAATGAATATACTTTCTTCTCAAATGCAGCAGCTATTTTTTTTTTTCTTCTTTAAATTGATTTCTTTATCCTGTTTTTAGATGGCAGATGTGTGGTCATGTGGAGTAACTCTTTATGTCATGTTGGTTGGTGCATACCCTTTCGAGGATCAGGAGGATCCTAAAAATTTTAGGAAAACGATTCAGGTATATCACTTCCCAACATTGCCACTTTGGAAAGAAAAGTAATTCATCTTTTTTATTATTTTATTTTTTATTTGGCAGCGTATTATGGCTGTTCAGTACAAAATTCCAGACTATGTTCATATATCTCAAGACTGTCGACACCTTCTCTCTCGTATTTTTGTCCCTAATCCATCAAGGGTAAGTTTCATTGGCAAGTTTATGTGCAATGTCTATGCATTATATTTGTAGTTTATACAGAATATTATGTTTATCTAAGGAAATCTAAGAAACTATACCGACATTGGTTGATGCATTGCTAACTGTATGTTTGTAGAAGGCTATTTACTCTCCGTTAGCTCATTTCATACTCTATTTCCCCTGCTGAAGTGATGTTTATTTCACCATACAATCCACTAGTTCACGACTAAGTATGTTCTAAGCCTTTTTTTCCTGCCTTGGTGTTGCCCTCTTTTCATCACATTTATGAGACTGATTTTTGATAAAATTATAGTCTCGGTAGACTGATATGAGTTACAATGTACGAAGTGCAGATATCTTAGTTTCGGTAATGTGTTTGTTCACGATATGTATTAGAAATTCTAACATTTGATACTTGTCGAACACATATTAATCACTCCAACACTTCTCTCTCTCGTCAGTTTGTTGTTGTATGCTGGCACCATGGTTGTAGCTTTCTTCATGTGAGATCCTACATCGGTTGGAGAGGGGAACAAAGCATTCTTTATAAGAGTGTAGAAACTTCTTCCTTGTAGACGCGTTTTAAAACCGTGAGGCTAAAGGTGATATGTAACGGGCTAAAGCAGACCATATCTGCTAGCGGTGGGCTTGGGCTGTTACAAATTGTATCAAAGCTAGACACCGGGCGGTGTGCCAGCGAGGACACTGGGCCTCCAAGGGGGGTGGATTGTGAGATCCCACATCGGTTGGAGAGGGGAACGAAGTATTCCTTATAAGGGTGTGGAAACCTCTCCCTTATAGACGCGTTTTAAAACCGTGAGGCTGATGGCGATACATAGCAGGCCAAAGCGGACAATATCTACTAGCGGTGGGTTTGACCTGCTACGCTTCACTTGTGTTTGGGATGATGAAGAGGTTAGTAATTCAAAAGTGAAGGGTAAAAGACACATATATACCATTGATTCAGATGAAAGAGAGAAGAACAGGAAAATACTCTACTCATAGGAAGAAGTTGTTTCAACATTTCCATTTGGTAGTGCCACAAATAAACCCACTGGATGGCTTGATAATCACTCCTCTGAATCTTCAGATCTTCAAGAAGATAAGAAACTGGTTGTTGTTGGATCCGAAAGATAACCAGCAAAAGAGGAGTTCTTGCTGTTTTGAAGGTTTTAACAAAGGAATGTAGAAGAATTCAATATGTTTAGTATAAGGGGGGACCTTAAAGGATAGAGAGAAATGGTGTAAATGGTAAGAAGATTCTTTGCAGATGGCTTTTGTTTGAATTCTGCAGCCATCCTTTGCTAGCGCCCAAGAGGGCTTTTCCTGGGCGATAGCTTTTAT